TTATTTTCAATCCGTAGACATCCATTACCTACCTTTCGAAATAATAATCACCTAATAACCACCTGACAAACAAAATTGTTTTTCAAGTTTTCTTTTTTTTATGAATCAAGATTGCAATCAAATTGAGAAAGTTTTGTATAGAGAAAAAAGTCAAGGTCGATAAAATAAAATGGCTTATGTGATTATTTCGAGAATAACCCATTGATACCACAGTCTTTGCTTTGAATGAAATTGATTCTCACTTTTGGTTTGAAAATCCAGCTGGCTCATCCAAAAAAAAAAAAACAACATTTCACTCAATCAAATCAAATCAATCACTATAGTCTAGCCATTGATAATTATAAAAAATCGTGGCCAAAAACTTTTTTCCCGGCCAAAAAAAAACCTGATTATTATTATTTAAGAGGAAAAAAACAAGAAATGATGATGTTAACCACCAAAATGATTCATTCGAATTCAAATGACAACAACAGCCAAAATCAGACAATATTTTACGCTGATTAAAGAAAAAAAAACTCGTTATGTTTTGCATCGTTATCAGGGGAAAAAATTTGATTGAATTGAACTGGTTTTTCCGCTATGAATGTCATCAATTCTATTTTCCATAATCAAAAATCAAAAATCAAAAATCAGTAATGTCTTTTCGTATGAATGAAATTAATTGATTTCCAATAAATTACAGTCTGTCTGTCTGTCGGTCTGGTTATCGTTTGATAGTTATTTGCCTTCATGTTTTTTCGTCCAGCCATAATTAGATTATCAAATCTGTTTTGATGAATTTTAACCCTTAGTTGGTTCAAATTTTATCCAAAAAAAATGATATCCTTCAAAATAATAAAAAATACTTCCGCAATATTCTTTCGTAATCATTCTTTGACATCATCATCATCATCATCNACTGGTTTTTCCGCTTTGGTTAATGTCATCAATTTTTTTTTTTTTTTTTTTTTTTTTGTTTTCAAACCAAAATCAAAAATCAAAAATCATTTAATGTCTTTTCATATGAATGAAATTTAATTGATTTCCAATAAATTTGCTGTCTGTCTGTCTGTTCTTGTTTGATAGTTTTTTTTATCATGTTTTTTCGTCCAGCCATAATTAGTTTATCAAACAACCGAGGGATTGAGGAATTTTAACCCCTTAGTTGGTTCAAATTTTGTCCAAAAAAAAGATCCTTCAAAATAATAAAAAATACTTCCGCAATATTCTTTCGTAATCATTCTTTGACATCATCATCATCATCATCGTAATCTTTATTTTCCTTATCTATGATTTATATAATAATAATAAAAGAAAAAGGAAAACAAATTTTTTTGCTTGAAAATTTATGACGATCACAAGACAAACATCATTTTCTTTCGCTAACTAACTTTAAAGATTGATAAATTTTGTTTAACTTTTTTTTGTAACAAACAAACAGAGCCAGACAGACTTCTTTTTTTTTGTTTTTGAATCGAAAGCAGAAAAAAATTGATTTCCTTATGAGAAGGTAGATAAGATTTGTTTTTGTTTTCGTTTTTTTGCTTGCAACGAAAGAAAAAAACATCCAACCATCCAACCAAACATACAGTGTTGATTCGATAATCATCGATTGATTTGACAAATGAATCTTTTTTGGTTTGTTTGTAATCCATAAATCTCTTTAGTAAAAAAGCGTGTGAACCATAACCACCAATTCGGTCAAAGATCTTTTTCTTTTCTTTTCTTGATTGTCAATAAGGAATATACAGTGCATTTTTCTTTCCAACAGAAAAAATTGAAATTGTGAAAATCAACCAAACAACCAGGAATTGTTATAACGATGAAAAATATATAAAAAACGATCATCATCATTTTTATCATAAAATAAATAGAAAGAGAAATAACAATAGTTTTCAATAGTTACATTGATTACATTGATTGGAATCCAAAAAAACATTGTACAAACAAACAAATAAACAAACACTTGTACTTGATATATATTTCTCATGATTTTTCTCGCAAATATTTTTTTTTTCATTTCTGGGCCAGAATTAGCCTCTTGAAACAAGAAAATTTCGTTGCTTGTTCTCAACGAGTTTTCTCTCTCTATATCTCATTAGGTCAATGGTTGATAAGCCAATGATTTGGTTAGCTGACTGGCTCTGGTTGGTTGACAAATCAATTTTCAATTCCAATAATGATGCTGAAACCAAATTTTTGATTTTTTTTCGATGCGATTATTGGAAGAATGTTTTTGGCTAATTGATTGATTGATGATAAAGCTGTGTGTGTACCAGATATCAGTCGATGACCCGCGATGTTTACGTAGTTGTGTCAAAATGATAATAATAATAATAATAAAATCGACATTATCGATTGATTGATTGATTAGCAAAAAAAAAAATGAAACAACGACCATATGTGTGGATTATTGATGATTGTTTTTTTATCCCATTGACAATGATATTTGAAAAAAAACGGAACCCGTGCTGCCATCTACGATCGAAAGCCACACGATGACCATGAGAATATTTTTTTTCTTTTTTCTCTTTTCTTTTTCGCTACTTTTTTTTCCAATCATTATTCAGATGAAATCTTTTGAACAACCAAGTGTTAAATCAAACAAAACAAATCTTAATATCATCGAAGAATTAAATAATCAAAAAATGTTGTCAAAAAAAACCATTCAAAATTCAATCAAATCAATCATCAAACATCATCATCAAAATAAAAATAGAGAATATAATTGGACAGTGGGCAACCCTTTTTTCGTTTTGTTTTTTGTTGTATAGTGAAAATGAATGATCATCACGAATAAAAGTGCAAGGTTATACGATACAAAAATCATTGATGATAATGATCATTGAACATCGGCATCACTATTGCCGTAAATGATGATCTGAGAAAACACAAAAAACAAAACAAAAACAAAGCAAAGAATGGCTGACTGACAGTTTTTGAACAGAAAAAAATTGACAGCGACAACAATGGGAATTGTAATGTAATTGATCAACATCCAGCAATCATCATCTTTTTCTTCTTCGTTGGCGATAATCATTTTGTTGTTGTTTCAATGGCCATTTTTTAATGATTGACGATTCTAATCATCATCATCATTATCATCATCATTGGCTACTAAAATTGCCACCATCGTCGTCGTTGTTTTTTATTTCAATGATGCAAATTTCATTGATAATTTATACATTCGGATATTGATGATAAATGATATATAGAGAATTGACAATCAATCCATCGATCGATCGATCATCATCATTATAACAACAATGTCTTTAATAGCAGACGGCAGGTTAAAAATGTATTGTTGTTTGCATTTCCATTTGATGATCATTAAAATTTCGATGATTTCGAGCAAATTGGATGAATCAAATGAAATATCAATCGAAATTCGAATGTTTCAAAATCGAATGTTTTGAATCGAATCAATTCGAAATAAACCGCACTGCCATCTTTCGAGCAATTCTTGAACTATGAGTTTATTCTTTTGATCACTAGATGGCTAGGTTAGGATCAACACACACTTGCTTCTAACTAAATTTGGATAAAGATTTCAAATTAAAAAAAAAATCAATTTTATTAATTCAATAGTCGAGTTTACAAAAAAAATTTGCTCAAATTCGTAATTGGAATTGTGGTCCTGAAAAGGACCGTTTTTGTTATATGATGAAATTATGTAAATGATGATGATGATGAAAATTTATTTGCTTGATGTATATTTGGTAACAGCTTTAGTACCTTCGGATACAGCATGTTTAGCCAATTCACCAGGTAACAAAAGTCGGACAGCCGTTTGAACTTCTCTCGATGTAATGGTGCTACGTTTGTTATAATGTGACAAACGTGATGATTCGGCAGCAATACGTTCGAAAATATCATTCACAAATGAATTCATGATTGACATTGCTTTCGATGAAACACCAGTATCCGGATGGACTTGTTTCAATACTTTGTAAATGTAGATCGAGAACGATTCTTTACGGCGACGATGCTTCTTCTTTTTGTCGGTGGCTCGAACCGATTTTTGAGCTTTGCCAGATTTTTTGACAGCTTTACCAGTGCTTGGTGGTGCCATTGTTGTTGTTGTTGATTTGGAATGAAAATTAAATTAAGCAAAAACAAAATAGAAATGATATATTTTTGTTGCCGAAACACGATATTTATACGATTCAAAGTGGTGTACAGAACACTAGCCAATCATATCGCTTAGTTTCAGCATGCTGTAGGCGGTGCTTGAAAATTTCGCGCGTTTTTTTTTCATTGCCTGACCTATGACGATTGGCTCATGCTACGAACACCACTTTTTCAGTAAAAACAAAGTATATAAGCCCAATTCGAACATTTAAAAACTTAACATTCGAAATTTTGTTATTTTTCGCTTTTTGCTCGTATATCTCAAATCAATTCCAAATCAACAATGTCTGGCCGTGGTAAAGGTGGTAAAGTCAAGACAAAGGCAAAGTCTCGTTCATCTCGAGCTGGTCTTCAATTTCC